GCGCGGGGTGTGTGGGGGGAAGCTCTGTTGGTGGAAGCGGGCGGGGGGGGGGGGGGGGAGTAGGTCCAAAATTTCTACCCTAAACACTTCAACACTCCTTTCAGATCGTGTTTCACAAAAACTTGAAAAACAACTATGTTACAAATCTACTAGTGTTTCTTTCTAATCTATTGCACGAGCTTCAAATAGCGATTAATCGATGCAGAATCGATCTCGCACCAGTGACATAGTCAGGAATTTTGGAATAGTGGTCAGTTTTCCAGTCAAACTATGTTGAGAGGTAGGCAGCGGTGGGAAATTCAAAGATTCATTGGGCAATCATTTTATAAACTTATTGCTGCTTTAAAACCCGACATTTGCTGATGACAAATTCATCAAGCTTAACTAACAGCCAAGCATGCTCACTTTCTTTGTGCTGTTTCACAAATGTTCTCTTCAACTTTCAAATACTTGATTATTTTATGTCAAAAAACACCAGGAATAAGCATAAATAGATCAAAACAACTACACAAATAAGTAACAATAAAAGGTACAAAAAAGAACACAAACAGTAATAATAAAAAATCCAATCGTCGCCGATGTTTTTGTACAAATAAATGGATAATTTTCATAGGATCGATTTCCACATTTTTGTGAATGAAAGCAGCTGCAAATCCATTAAGTCGGTTCTGAACCATTTTTGATCTACGATAGGTTTCGATACGCTTGGGTGAGCTGATTGCATGCTCTGCCGAACTGTTAGTAACTGGAAAAGTAGCTAGAAAACCGAGTAAAACATTTATATTCTGATAGAAAATAGAATTACATTTGGTAAGTGAATCGTTCATCCATAAATTAACGTAGTTTGGTTTGTTCACGAGACCGATACATTCATTTTTCCATCTCTCTAGTTCACCGAAAAGTTGCAGAGATTGTGGTAAATGATCGAAAACAATTTTCCTTAATTTCTTATATAGCTCACTAGGGAACCTTCCAAGGTGCGGGAGCGCTTTTCAATCGGGATTTCGTGCATCTTGTAGCCCGTAGTGAGTTATGCTTACGGTAAAAAAAGTTCGGGTTTCTGGCTTGTTTCTGAGGAGATATCGAGCTCTTAGTGAATTTTCTCTATAGTATGCCTACAGTGGCAGCAAAGCTATTCTTTCGAATTTTGACCTGAAACTTTGCCTGCATAAAGGCCTCAGCTAGACTAGTTTGCATAAAAAATTTCAGAAGTTTTGAATAAAGTCTCTC